CAGATGACATTTCAAAGATGACATCTAAAACTCGCTATGGTCATTACGAGTTCAAAGTAATGCCCTTTGGATTAACAAATGCTCCTGTAGTATTTATGAATCTGATTGATAGATTATTCCATCAGAATCTAGATTAATTTATCATTGTATTAATCGATGACATTTTTGTGTATTCAAAGAATAAGGATTAACATGAAGAACAACTTAAGATAGTGTTGGAGATACTACGAAGGAAGAAATTGTATGCCAAATTTGAGAAATGTAAATTTTGGCTTGATTGTATAGTTTTTCTTGGTCATGTGGCTACGGCGCAAGGGATTGAAGTAGACCATTCTAAAGTTGAAACGATAACCTACTGGCTTAGATCGATTAATATAGGTGAAGTTCGTAGCTTTTTGGGACTAGCCGGTTATTATCGAAGATTCATTAAGTTATTCTCCAAAATAGTTAGGCCGATGACCCAACTAACCAGGAAGGGCTTAAAATTTCAATGGATTGAGATGTGTAAGGAGACCTTTTACGAATTGAAACAGAAATTGTTTATAGCTCCAGTATTAGTTATGCCAGAGTATTTAGATGGATTCATTATATATAATGATTCATCCAAATAGGGTTTAGGATGTGTACTAATCTAGTTTGGGAAGGTGATCGTATACACCTCAAGACAATTAAAATAACACTAGCAAAACTACCCTACACATGATCTAGAGTTGGCGATGATAGTACACGCTCTAAAGATATAGCATCACTATCTTTACAGGAGAAAATACGATATTTATATGGATTATAAGAGTTTAAAATACTGCTTCACTCAAAAGGATTTGAATATAAGACAGAGAAGGTGGTTGGAGTTAGTTAAGGATTATGAATGCCTATCTATTACCATCTGGGTAAAGCTAATATAGTTGTGGATGCTCTTAATAGGAAGACGGCGGGACAACTAGCAGTTTTACCCACAACTCAAGTGCAGTTGATAAATGAGTTTGATTAGTTGAAAATGGACGTTGTCATTCCACCAACTCAAGTTATTGCCAAGATTACATCATTAAAGATTCAACATACTCTTAGGAATCGAATCAAAGATGCTCAAGACAATGACCCGTTTTTTAGGAAAATTAAGGCAGAAGTTGGTACAAGTAGAAGGCAAGATTTTGCAATAGAAAATGATAATATTTTGATGTTCGATGGAAGATTATGTGTACCAAAAAGATGAAGGGATAAGAAGAGAAATATTAGAGGACGCTCACTACGCCACGTATGTTGCACATCTCGGTGGTACTAAAATGTATCAAGATCTTCATGATACATTTTGGTGGAAGAATATGAAAATGGAGATTGGTCTCTTTGTTGAGAAATGTATTGTATGTTAGCAAGTTAAAGCAGAACATCAAAAGCTATCTGGACCATTAAATCCATTGGAAATTTTAGAATGTAAATGAGAGCAAATAGCCATTATTTTTGTGATGGGTTTTCCGCAGTCGATGAAAGGACATAATGCCATTTGGGAATTATGGACAGGTTAACAAAGTCAGCTTATTTTCTTCTAGTAAGAATGAACTATAGTATGGATCAATTTGCTCAATTATATGTTAAGAAAATTGTCAGACTACATAGAGTTCCAGCATCCATCATCTCAGATTGAAACTCAAGGTTTACTTCTAAATTTTGGAAGAGCATGTAAGGAGCTATGGGGACAAAGTTAAATTTCAGCACTACCTATCATCCTCAATTTGATGGACAGTCTGAAAGAAATATTCAAATCTTAGAAGACATGCTTCGGGCATGTGTTTTGAATTTAGGAGGTAATTGGGAATCACATTTATCATTAATAGAGTTTGCATACAATAATAGTTTTCAGGATACTATTGACATGGCTACTTATGAAACTCTCTATGGTAGAAGGTGTAGATCCCTGATTGACGAGGTCAGAGAAAATCGAATTTTGGGTCCAAAAATTATTGCAAAGACTGCGAGCAATTGATAAAATTAGAGACAGAATAACGTCTGATCAAGATAGACGGAAAATCTATGCAGATCAACGGAGGAAATCAATAGAATTCGAAGTCGATGATAAAGTATTTCTAAAAGTGGCAACAATAAAAGGGGTTCTTAGATTTGGCAAGAAGGAAAATTTGAGACCTTGATATGTAGTTTCTTTTGAAATCCTAGATAAAATTGGAATGTGGCATACCGTCTAACATTGCCACCTAGACTATTGGCATTACATAATGTATTCCATGTGTCAATGATTAAAAAGTATGTGTATGATTCCAAACATGTGATAAGCTACGTATCATTGGAAGTACAAAAGGATCTGATGTATGAAGAGACCCTTTTGAAGATTATTGAAAGGAAAGTACATGCATTAAGAAACAAAGAAGTTGCCTTGGTCAAAGTTCGATGGAAAAATCATGAAATCAAAGAGGCTATTTTGGAGAAGGAAGAGAAAATAAAAATCAAGTATCTAGAACTTTTTTACTAAATAAGGTAATTTCGAGGACAAAATTAATTAAGGGATAATAAATGTAACATGCCGAATTTTAATTATATTTTTATATGGGCGAAATTTAATGTTGATCATTTAGCAAATGAAATAGTCCATGCCCAACCTTGTCGTTACACTAAAGTCCAAAAGTTAAAGTGATAAATGCGACTCACTTATTTGCATAAATAATTTATTTTGCTTACGTGTACTTTTTAAAATTTATCGTAAATTATTTGGGTCGAATATTTAAGTATTTAAAAGTTGATAAAAAAATTTCGATATTATAATCATTTTATAGGTCATGTTAAATAATATAATTTGAGCTTAAGAAAAAGTAATTTTGAGCTAATTATGCTCGAGTTATCCTGATAGAAAGAAATAGTATTACCCTCAAATATTTTATTAATACATGATAATAATAATAATAATAATAATAATAATAATAATTCAAGAATAGGGGAGCTTTCAATGGTACGGTTACGGTTACAGAGAATTTGAAAAGGTAATTAAATTAATTTAAACATAAACATAGCATTCACTTTAAATTGATCTAAAATTCATTAACTAATTAATAATGATTAATTCCGTTAACCCTCGTTAACATGGAAAATGCCTATATATATCTATATATACACATACATGAAATGATTTTTCTTCTACCACAAAGTTTATATTGTACACATTTTTCACAACTACACTTTTGGAATTGAACAAAGTATATATATATATAAAAAGCTATATTTTCATATATCTTGGCAGCAATTGAGGTGAGAATACATAGTGCAAGGTGGCAAATTCTTTTTATTTTTTTATGTTTATATAAATTTGGCACGAAATATTATTAGGTTTTCGGGTCGATTTATATGTTAAATCCTACGGAATGGATCATTGGGTCGAATATGTTAAATCTGACAAGGTAGATTGTTAGGTCAAATATGTAAATTTTATGAGATATAGGAATTTTTAAGAAATTTCTTGAGCTATTGAATACTGCGATTAGTATACTCTAAATCTAAAAATATATGTATGTTATGTCATTTTATATTTACATCAAGTTAATAAGAATATGCACGTATTTTTACTGAGTATTTTTTAAAATACTCACTATTACAATAACTTTCTAAATTAGAACGGATCATGTGGACGCGTAAAAGATTGATCGAGTGATACTTATAGTGTTGATAAGTAAAAAAATTTAGAAATGATTATTGCCAAATTTTATTTTAAGAACATCTTTATGCTTAATTATGTGTACATTATTTTTATTATTTTTTTGTGTCGTGTTCGAGCTTTGGATATATTACGTTAAATTCTGAATTCTTATTTAAAATTGTAGTCGTTTAATATGTTGATTTATATAAAAAATTTATTTAAATTATTGGATTATCTTTATCAATTTATTGATCAAACTAAATAAAAAGAGAAAATTTTACTTAAATTAAATAGAGAAGATATTTGGTAACATTTCAAATCTATGTTTTTATAAATAAAATAAAAGAGTAATTGACTTTGGGCGTTACAATAACTATTTATTTCATGTTGCACACAAAACTTTAATGCAGTCCACTTTAATAGTCCAACAATATATTTTGTTGCGCGCTTATCAATTGAAGAAGTTTTCAAAGGTTTCTTTATTCAAATGGTAAAATGTATAACCATTTGACACATTAAGCTTCCGTTTGTTTCTCATTTTTGAAAGAATGAGAATGAAAAATATAGTCGTTGCAGGCCTCACACAAGAGATAAAAATTTAAATTTGTTGGCTTGATGTGATGGATAATAATCATATTTTTCATTTTAATGAGAAAAGAATGGGAACCAAATAGGGGCTAAATTAAAAATCACTTTTTACTATGGAGACTTAGTAACCAATGAGAAACAAAACTTAAAGCTACTAATTTGGAACAATAATGCAAACAATACTTAAAGTTAGATAAACAACTAGTTTGGAACAAATAAAAGTTGAGTGATCAAATTGAAACAAGCCTATAAGGTCCGTTACACTCAGGTTTTATACCTAGAGGATGTTTGATGGGAATTAAAATCAAATTTTTTAGTAGACGCTTGTTTGGTTTGGATTAAAATTCATTTTTAATTTAAGCCAAAGTCAAACATTCAATATTAACACATTTCAAAATTTTTATCATAATCAACTAACAAAATCTAGTTTTAATCTCCACCAAACATATTCTAGAATGTGATAGGAATTTTTGAAATGTGTGTATAAAAAATTGTGAGATCTATGTAAAATGTGATTAATATTGATTGTAGTTAGATTAAAATCTCTTTTCCAAAAAGGCTCTTAGAAAATTCTTCAAAATTAAGAGAATGTTTGTTAGGAATTAAAATTAAAATTTTTTAGTAAATTGTGATAGACTTTTTTGAAATACGTAATTGAAAAGTTGTACTAATTAAATTGTTTCACCTTAACTTACATTAAAATCAAAGTTTACTCGTGCCGAACATGCTCTGAATTGCCATCGTTCTCGCCAAGTGCTCAATCATGGGCTTAAAAGGATTTTCTTCCTCTGCATTCAGCGCCCCAATACTCGGCCGAATTCTAACTCTCCGGGAAAATACATTTCATTTTTATATACAAAGAAGGAACATCGAACCCTAAAGCTATTTCAAGAGTACAAATGGTGAGCCCCTGTATATACTAATTATTTTCACGGTCACTGATTTGGTTCTTAGCTTGCTATTTTATATTTTATCTTTCCTTCAATGCATAAGTCTTGAAGACGAGATCTTTATGTGATTTTCAGCTTGAACAAGGAAATTTTTTGATTTATTAATGATTTGTTGTTTATATTTCTTTTGGACTTAAATTATTGAATTCATGGTGCTCTATGCACCTAAATTTATGCCTATACATCAGCAGTTCATCGTCAGATATCTGCTTATAGTTTATTCCTTTTGTAAGTTTATGAATTGAAAGTTATCCGGCTTTCCTTTAGGCCTTTTTATTAGTTTCATGCTTTAGACAGTTAATCACAAAGTTCCACTTTTAATATTTTATTTTCTCTAGAAGAGAGAAGGAATTCTATTTTCTATTTTGTAAGTTTTTGGCTTAACCTTTAATGAATATGTTTGTGTACAGAGTTCGTAACTTGGGTTGTCTTAATTCTTCCTTAAAATTAAAATAAAATACTTCAGGATTAAATTATTCATGTCCTTTGATGAATTGCTATGTATTTAGGGTTTTAGTGGAATGCTTGCAAATGGAAAATTTTTATTCATTTATGAATAAATTATAATTTTCAGATTTATTCTGTTATTTGATATTTTTACCAGAATTCAGAGATTCCTTGTTAGGGTCCGAATGAAAGTATTAATTGGAGGTTAGTAGTGTTTAACAGAATTGCAACATATAAGCTAACAGTACTAGTTGTGATTTCCCCATTAAGAAAAGATCAAGTTTACATAATCTCTAATACAGATAGATAGCACATTTTATGGTTGTTTGCCATTTTCTTATTATAAGCTTTTATTGAATTTAAATAGATGATCAGCTTAATTACGGATTTTGATGTAATAATTCTCTATGTAAGAGAGATTTGTGAATGTATTGGGGCACTTTAAAATTGAAGTTAATCAAAGAAATATAATTAATTATTTGAAAAGTGGAAGCAGAATGATTTTAGAATGCTTATTCGAGTTGATTTTAGAATGATTAAATTGAGTCTAACAAACCAGAAAATAGCGACTGATTAAAGTACGATATTTGGTTTGCTGTTATATGAATGCCTTCTCTTGCTTTGGGCTCTTCATCATCCTTCTTTGCCTATAATTGGGATCGATTATTCGTAACCTTTTAGGAACTTTTGAGGAGGAATAATGGTGGGGACCACGAAATGCGTGGATGATAATAAGTAGTAGTTTTAAAAACCCAATCTAAATCCACTTCATTGAAAACTGACTGATGACATAATTTACATACTCAACTGTTTTTAAAGGCTTCAACTTAATTGGAAAGAAAAATATGTCATTCCTAAGTATAGCTGTCCTTTCTTTTCGATGGTTGGGTGTGGGGGGTACAAAATATGTTTATATTGAATCAGGGTATTTATTTTTCTTTAGATTCTAAATATTTCTCTTGATACTTCGATGATGTGTCCTAAAGATAAGCATGCGTTCTGTAGATAACGTTATATTTTGAGTTTTTCTGTGTTATATGAATTTTGTTAGTACATTGATCTTTTCTAGATTTCAGCACCAGTAATATATTGTTCTAGGTCCACCCTGGTAACACCCTTATGTCGGTTGCATCTATATGAATCCACTGGAATTGCTCTCCCAGTTTGTGAACTGGATCCGTTTCAACCACTTCAAGCAAGAACGTCCCCTGTCTGGATGGATATTTCGTCAGTGACCTGCATTCCTTCTATTTGATTTTCTAAATTCTTACCTTCTACTGTTGCCTCTTTTCCCTTAACCAAATCAGCAGACCTTTATTTCCTTTCTAAATTTGCATGTTCAACACAAATTTTCTTTGTAAAGATAGCTAAATTTGCTTACATGACTTCAAAATTACCTCAAGCACTCCAGTTGGTAATTATATTCATACAATCATGTAAGACCTTCAAACAACTCCGACAAATTCAAACTCAGATTACAACAAACGGTTTTGATCATCAAAACCACCTCGCGACATCTCATTTCCTCTCAAAATGCTCTGAGTCGAAGCAGATAATCTACGCCTGCAAAGTGTTTGATCAAATTCCAAACCGCAGAATTACATCACTTTGGAATGCAACATTAAAAGGTTATTTACAAAATGACCTTTACAGTGAGGTTGTTCTGTTGTTTTGTGAGATGATGAGGGAGAATGTGAAGCCTAATTGTTACACATTTCCTCTGATCTTGAAGGCTTGTGGCAATTTTGTCTTCGAAGGAATGTGAGGAAGTGCATTGTGTCGCAGTTAAAAGTGGGTTCATTTCGAATACTTGCATAGGTACTACTTTAATTGAGTTGTATTTGGATGAGGGGCGTGTTGAGTGTGCTTTTAGGGTGTTTACTGAGATGGTTTTGAGGAATGTTGACACGTTGTTGTCTGGACTGCGATGATACAAGGCTATGTGGCAAATGGCGATCTGGTGCTGGCGAGAAAGCTTTTCGATTTGGCTCTAGAACGGGATGTGGTATTATGGAACAGAATGGTTTCAGCATATATAGAATGTGGGGATATGATAGAGGCTAAGAGGATTTTCGATGTGATGCCAGCTAAAGATCTGATGTCTTGGAATACACTTTTGCATGGGTATGCAAATAATGGGGATACCAAGGGGTGTGAAAGGTTGTTAGAGCAAATGCAGGAGAGGATTGTTTTCTCTTGGAATGGATTGATTGGAGTATACACTCGAAATGAGAATTATATAGAGGTCCTTGATGCCTTTAAGAGGATGTTGAGAGATACTGATGTGCATCCTAATGATGCGACACTTGTAACGTGTTGACTGCTTGTGCAAGGTTAGGAGCTCTTGATTTAGGCAAATGGGTGTATGCATATGTAGAGAGTGTTGGTTACAAACAAAATGTTTATGTTTGCAATGGTTTGATTGACATGTATGCTAAGTGTGGGGTGGTAGAAAATGCAGTTTACGTGTTTAGGAACATGGATAACAAAGATTTAATATCTTGGAACATGATAATTAATGGTTTAGCTGTGCATGGTCATGGAGCTGACGCATTGAACCTTTTCAATGAGATGAAAACTACTAGAGAGAAATTAGATCGAATCACTTCCATAGGTATATTATGTGCTTGTTCTCATATGGGTTTAGTTGATGATGGATTGAACTATTTTCACTCGATGATAAATGAATATTCGATTGAACCTCGAATTGAGCATTACGGTTGTCTGGTTGACCTCCTCGCCCGTGCTGGGCTTTTGGAGCAGGCTGTAGAGCTTATAAGGATTGTAGCAGATTGTGTCCTTTGAACTTCTTTACTAGCAGCCTCTCGGATTCACAGGAAACTTACATTTGCTGAAATGTCTCTTCAAAAACTTATTGAGCTTGACCCGAAAAACCCTGCAAACTATGTTATGCTGTTTAATATATATGAATAAGCTAAAAGATGGGAAGACTTGGCACGGATAAAAGCTGCAATAAGGGATACAGGATCTAAAAAACAGCCGGGATGTAGCCTCATTGCAACCGATGACGGGATTCTTGAGTTCTATTCATTCGACGAGAGGCATTCCAAAACAGAAGAGATATATTGTGCCTTGAAAGGATTGATGAAGTTGTTAAGATTATCACGATATGTCCCAGACCTTATGGAGCTTGGGCAGGGAACCTAGGCAAGTTTAAACATATTAAAAAATGAACACCATGATTTGATTGTACAGATTTACCTGCTCCAGCACTTCCTTCTCCAGCTTGATGATTACGCCCAAAGTATAACGCGGTGGTTGTATTATAGCTTTGGGGTGTCGTATTTATAGGGAGATGGGAAATCATTCAGAGGATCAAAAGCTAGGGTTTCATGAAGTGTATGAAAATAGTTTATCAATTAGAAGGAAATTTAAATATCTATGTGTGAAGTAGTGAAGCGCCGAAATTCCGTCGATTGGTTCAAATCAATCAACGTCAATTATACATCCATATACTCAATTAAAGATTCTTGTCGTCAAACTTTAATTAGAAAATATAACATTAAAGCTTAATTTAATTCTATAGTAATTTCAAAATATGGATTTCCTATAACATATACCCACTTTAATCTATTGAAATCAGATTCTAAATCCACCTTATACATCAAGCATAAAATCGTAGAGAATCACACCAATAAAATAATTGAAATTGAAATTCAACAAATAGATTAATTTCACGATAGATAAAACATGATTGAATCTATGTGAAATATAGTAAATGTTTAACCAATCTCACAACAATGCTTGAAATTGAAATTTAATACATACTTCAATCATTCGATGGAAAGAATATGATTAAGTCAATGAAAATCTAATACATATTAAACCAATCTAAAAACATATTTATAAGAACAAGAGATCCAAACCTAGAATTGTTTAGCAATGGAAATCATTTTACATGCATGAGAAACGTTGAAATAACCGATACTAATCGAGTTCTTCCCTTGCTTCACCAAAGATTTTTAGCCTTCCATGGAGTTTCTTCACCCAAGATGAGAGAAAAATGGTACCAAGTTCGTTCACCTTTGTTCTGGGCTTAAGAATCGAGTGAAAACGTGTTACCATAGTTGATGGCATGAAATCTGGAAATTGCTAATTTTTCTTTCGGGAGATAACTATGCGATCGCATAGTATAAAGCTATGCGGTCGCATAGTACAAATGTGTGGCGCCCAAAAATTCCTTGGACCCTTCTATGCGGTCGCATAGCTTTTGAACTATACGACCGCATAGTTCAAAATTTTTTCTGTCGGACACCTTTTAGTATTTTGGCCAAAACTTTCCTTTTGATATCCAATTGAAGTGATTCAAGTTACGTTGGAAAGCTAACACGAAGGGCTACAACTTTGCTTCAGAAATCATCTTCCAATTCGATCATCTTCCATGTCAAAAAGGGGTCCCAATATGAGGCTAAAAATCGGTGCGTAACTTTTTCGATTGGGAATTGACTTGTGAAGATGTTATGATCATATTTCACTTCCTTTGA